GGGAACTCTCTGGGACATCTAATTACATGTGGATGATATAACATAGTTGTCTTTCTCTTGCAGTGGGATCTGGTGTGTGATAGGAAATGGTTAAATCAAGCGGCCGCCACATTTCTTCTTCATCGGTCTAACTATTGGATCCCTCACCTGTGGATTCCTGTCTGACAGGTGAGATGACAGTACAGGTGATCACTTCTTGTGTCTGTCTGGCGTGGTCCTCAGAAGAAGCCCAGTACCATGCATCCTCTATGAGTTTCAGTGAGAAGGTAATAGTATAGTCCAGGGGTGGGCAAACTTTTTGACTTGAGGGCCGCAATGGGTTCATATATTGGACCTGGGGGCCGGACCAAGAGTAGATGAATGATGTGTATGTGTCATCCATAGTAAGTATAGTAATATTCCCCCATAGTAAGCATAGTAATTCATCCCCCATATAGTAATTCATCCCCCATAGTAATTCATCCCCCATAGTAATTCATCCCCCATAGTAATTCATCCCCCATATAGTAATTCATCCCCCATATAGTAATTCATCCCCCATATAGTAATTCATCCCCCATAGTAATTCATCCCCCATAGTAATTCATCCCCCATAGTAATTAATCCCCCATATAGTAATTCATCCCCTATAGTAATTCATCCCCCATATAGTAATTCATCCCCCATAGTAATTCATCCCTTATATAGTAATTCATTCCTCATATTAAGTCCCCAAGTCCCCCCTGTGTCAATTTACTTACCTTTGCTCCGCGCGTTCCTCTCGCCGTGTTCCCGCGCCGTTCCGGTCTTCAAGGCGGACTGTGAGAGGAGCCTAGCTCCCCTCACGTTCGTCACGCTGCCCCGCCTACACACATCCTGACAGCCATCCTGACAGTATCACGCTCCGCGGGCCGGATTAAAAGGTCCGCCGGGCCGTATACGGCCCGTGGGCCGTAGTTTGCCCATTGCTGGTATAGTCAGAGAAATGATAGCATCCCGGAAGAAAGTTCCTCAACCATTTGTGTATGTTTAAATGTGCAGCAGGAAAGTTTCTAGTATGCTTTGAACTCCAGAAAAGTTAGAGTGGGCTGGTCAGGAGTAGGGAACTGAAATTTCTCAGAAGGGCTTCAGGCTGGACAGAGGTTGAAACACCAGGTCTCAGCAGGTCAATGTGAACCATAACAGAATATATGGGGTCAAGGCAGGGGCGGACTGACAACTCATGGGGCCCCCGGGCAATAGGGGACCATGGGGCCCCTGTGTCCTTGCCCACACTCAAAGCACACCCAAAAAGCCTATAAAAAGGTAACAGGGGCATTTCATGGGGCCCCCTACTGACCCTGGGCCCTCGGGCAGTGCCCGAGTGCTCGAATGGTCAGTCCACCCCTGGGTCAAGGTGAATCATAACAGGTCATAGCAGGTTCCATCAGGTCATGGCAGATGAACATCAAGGTGAGTCATGACAGGTCAAAGTGAGTCATAGTCATGGCAAGTGTTAGGTCACAGCAGGTCATGGTGGGTCATAGGAGATCATAGTAAATCACAATGCTGATGACTAGGTCTGGGGCGCTTTTAATTTTTTTATTGTATACAGAAATCTGGAAAAGGGGAGATGGGGTGGGGTGTACTATGTCCTTTTTACCTAGGATGCCAAAGGACCTTGTCTCTAAACTGTTATGGCTGACTTTGTCTGGCCTGATGACAAATGTCTGTGCCTGGACCTATGGTGACTTTGACCCATTGATCTGTGACTCTTCCTCTCACAGGTTTGGGCGTAAGAAGATTTTGCTCTTGTCGTTCCTGGTGAGCGCCATATTCGGGGTCATGTCGGCATTCTCTATATCCTATATTATGTTCTCATTGTGCAGATTGCTGACTGGAATTGGGCTGATGGGACTAACTCTCGTCTCTTTAACTCTAGGTATGAGCTCCATTCTCTCTTAGAAGGTGTGATCTCTATTCCATAGCTCCATCACAGTTTTAGTACATGTGAATCATTGATGTGGTGACTAATCTGGATTTCCATTTGCTGTTTCTCCTGCTGGGAATTGGATTTAAATGGAAGACTAGATATACAGTATGAGAAAGAGACACTACTGCGACAGAGTTTTTCAGGCAGCAAATACAATGGATAAAAATTAACCCTGGATCTCCAGATTACAATGTACTAGTTAATCTGACATCGGTACAACATTTTAGTAATTCTTTAATTATCAGATTTTAATTTTCAATTTTAATTGTCAAGAATCTTGTATTTGTAGTGCTCACCCCCTAAAGGGCCCGTTGATTTGGTCTTAAGGTTCTTTCCCAGTAGATGTACCAGCAGCCAAGAACACAGTCACTCTTTTGACTCTGTAATCAGTCTAGGGGTATGCTTTTTCGATGTTTTATTGCAGAATGTGAACTTGGATGGGTAAAGGGTAACTGTGGAATACTCTAGCAATATTAAGAAGTAACCGAAGGACCCTAATCTTCCTCCTGACGAATCTGAGCACAGTCCAAGCAGCAACAAATATTTGAGCTATACTAGGACACCATGAACAATGTCCCCTTTAAGCAATGCTGACTCTAACGCAAGATGGATAGTAGCAGCACACAGCGGGATCTCTTACACTGGTCTGAACTCACTAATGTCCTTGGATAATTGGATGCCTCCTTCCAATATCTTCCAGACACCTCTCCTGTGAATTCTTCACACCAGATCCTGTACAAGACGTCCTCTGTCAGCTCCAACTAATTTCAGCAGTATAGCCCCTCCCCAGCTAGCATAGCAGGGACCTCGATGAGCAATAGAAGTATTGCAGAACTGCACAGAAGGGAAGCAGCCCTCCAGGTTGGGATCTCCTCCTCTAGGACAAGAGCCCTTCTGTTCAAAGTCCATGGCTCTTCATACTCCCAGTGAAGTGAAACAACAAGAAGCGCACCAACCTTGTGCATTACCTCAGTAACCAAAATTTATTTCATAAAAGAATGGTACTCACAAACAGCGAATAAAAACAGGCATGTAAGTCCACCAAGGGACTTCAAAGGCAAGAGGCCAGCACGAATCCCATCATGGGGGTAGGCACTCAGTACAGCTGACGCGTTTCGAAGGTCATGCCTTCTTCCTCAGAGCTTGTTGTTTCACTTCACAGTTTCTTCGGGCTTCCCCAGCCTTGTTTTGGAGCTGCACGACTTTGTATATTCCGGTGGTTGCTTTTCTGCAGTTTTGATTCCATCTACTCACCACCGGCCTGGGTCCCGGAGCGCAGGAGAAATCGCTTTTGGTTCATTGTCTTCATTGGGTTCTCCTAGTCCACTGTCTTCCAGAACCCTCCAGACAGACAAGGGTAAGCAGTCAACTCTGCAGCTAGTGAGACACAGAACAGACCAAAATAATCACTTGCAACTCAAGTGATTACAGTGACCCAATGTAACGGAACCGGACCCCAGACCACACTTGGGTATATTCCGTTATACCGCAGCTTCCTTGTCCGAACACCATCCACGGACCACACCCTTGAAATCCCTCAGGAAATAGACAGCACCCGACTCTTCTTAAAACAGGAAGTCAACTACTTTATTTTACACACATAACAAGTTATATACACAGGGCGAGGAAACACAACCAGGAACAGGAAACACATCATCAGCCCACCCCATCAGTGGGGAGGGCTACAGGAAACACATCATCAGCCCACCCCATCAGTGGGGAGGGCTACAGAAAACACATCACCCCTCCCCATCCAACCAAGACTCAGAACAATGGGGCAGCACATGGCAAAAGGACAATAGACAGCCATGTGGCCGAGAACAAAGGACAACACACCAATACACAATAGACATTCACATACACACCCTGCACCCTAACAGGCACAGGGTCACTTAAACATAAGAATTTGGGAAGATGATACAGAGGTCCCCCCACCCCCAAAAGTCACTTGTGTCACACCCAAGAACTAACTTTACCTAACCTAGCACTTGTCCAGGAGGGTGCTACATATTTAAACAGTAATTTGCTATTTCAAAATTTATGAAAACTAGAAATCACTTAGATGTGAAATGCCCATTAATATATAGTAAGGGATCCCATGCTTTCAGATTTCCTGGGTGTTTGTGTGAGGGGTTGTTTTGGGCAGCAGGGTGCAAAGAGTCATGTATAAGCTCCTCCCTTCCATTGGCAGCAATGACAGACTACTCCAAGGTTCACATTCTGCACCAGCCAACACACTGAATTAAGGGGGATCCTATGAATAAAGGGGTGGAGCATAGCACAAAATGGACTTAAATGTCAGATGACATTTCACTCAGGACTCTGACTCCACCATTTCCATCAGTGGATTCCAGAAAGGAACTGTTTGGATCTCTGATATAAATGTACAAAGATAGGAGTCACAAGTATGAACAGTCCAGGTGGAAGCATAGGGCACATTCATATGTTAGGTGAAGGTGGACAGCAGTGACTATAGATGGGTAGGGAGCAGGAGCACCAAGGGATGGATCAGATAGCATGGGAAGTGTGGCACAAGGAGCAGAATATCAGAACAGAGATGGAGTGAGAGAACAGGAATGGAGAGATGGACTGGAGAACATAAAGGAGGAGATTGGTGGAAATTACCCAAGGAGGAATGGTTGAAGAGGAGCTGGGATATTAAGGGGGGCAGATGACAGGAGGAGAATTGAACTGGGGTAAGAGGACCATATGAGAGATAAAAGAAGGGGCTATAAAGAAGTAGCCATAGTAGAAGGAGAAGAGGACCATGGAGTATTATGTAATACAGACAGGGAGTACTCCTCTCTCTTTATATTATCTAGGCTTGAAGACATTTCCTCTATACAGGCCTAATGTGGTAAGCAGAGACCTTGAAGTTAGCTTTGTTCTGTGGCCTCCTTAGCTGTTCCTTCTTGGGCTCTTCCTAATCTGTGGACATTATTGAATAGATTGTATTCTGATTTCCTTCTGCTCAGTGTTGGAGTGGACGGATGTGGCTCATCGTACGTTCTGTGGCACCATCAGTACTCTCTCGTGGACAGTGGGTTACATGATCCTGGCGCTCCTGGCCTATCTGATAAGAGATTGGCGATGGCTGTTATTGACCACCTCTGCCCCCTGCCTGATTGGTATCGCAACGTGGTGGTGAGTATGTGGTGCTTTTGTGCAGGTCAACTATCTGCCCACATGACAGCAATGAAATCCTAACTCTTCCCAGCTCTGGACAGACTCAGCACAGACAGCTGGGAATTAGAGATCTGCACGACAGAAACATGTATTTTGTTTCAGATTCGTTCGTCTTTTTTATTTTATTCTGTTCTATTTTTTCTATTCTCTTCTATTTTCCATTGTATTCTTTTATATTCTATGCTATTCTGTTTTATTCTATTTATTTTTTATTCTATTCTTTTATATTTTTATTCTGTTCTATTTTTCTATTCTATTCAGTTTTATTTTGTTCTATTCTTTTATATTCTATTATTCTCTTTTATTCTGTTCTGTTCTTTTCTATTCTTTTATTTTTTTTATTATAATATATTCTATAAAGCAGCCTAAGTAGGAATCATCATCTCTTTTGCCTTTTTTCCCTTACTGTATTTTTTTTCAGGGTTTCCTTTTCGAATTCAAATTAATTTTTGAATTTCAATTCATATCATTTGTTTAGATATAATTTTTTTCAGATTCATTGAAATTCATTACGAATACGTCTGAATCTCCAAATAAGGGAGGTTTTGTCTGAATTTTGATTCATAACAAAACAAGTCGCACGTGTCTAGTGGGAATTACAAGGGGGGGAGGTTTTTGGTGTAGTGTGAACCCAAACTGATACATAATGCGAGAGGGAAAAAGGGCCGCTATTGGAAGAGATTGGGCAGAAATATAACGAATAATCGTTCTCTTCGTAGGTGGGTCCCAGAATCTGCACGCTGGCTTCTGACCAAACAAGATGCTATCGGAGCTCACAGATACCTGTCCCAATGTGCAGAGATGAACGGAAGACCAAACTTCAAGACAAACATCTCTCCAGAGGTAAACCCTCGACACAGGCTGATAATGGGGAAAGGGCTCTCACCATTACCTGCTCCCTTACTAACAATGCCTAATACTCCGAATCAGTGGTCTCCAAACATCACCCCGGGGGCCAGATGTGGCCCTTTGATTGCCTTTATCTGGCCCTTGGGCACTATTCCATCAAATGACATCAATGATGGTGCACCGTTCTCCCTACTGAACCATCAATGGGGCACTATTCTTCCTGAATACGGCTGCCAGACTCATTCACCTTTCCAACCGCTCCGTTTCCGCCACCCCCCTCTGCCAATCCCTCCACTGGCTTTAGATTGCGCAACGGATCAAATTCAAAATCCTAACACTGACGTACAAAGCCGTCCACCATACTGCCCCGAACTACATCACTGCTGGACCTAATATCCAAGTACCACCCAGCACGCACACTCCGCTCCTCACAAGACCTCCTTCTCTCTAGTTCCCTGGTCTCCTCCTCCCATGCCCGCCTCCAGGACTTCTCCAGGGTGTCACCCATCCTCTGGAACTCCCTGCCCCAACCCATCAGATTATCACCTACTCTCCTCTCCTTTAGGCGCACCCTGAAAACCCATCTCTTCAGGGAAGCCTACCCCACCCCCTGCTAACTTGCCGACCTCCTCCACTCTTCCTACCACTCCATCCCCCACAGCTATCTCCTCCTGTGCCACCATCACCTCCCTTCTAGATTGTAAGCTCCAAGGAGCAGGGCCCTCAATCCCCTCATGTTTTGCATTGTATTGTTATTGTTCTGTCACATGTTCTTGTCCCCCTTTGTAATGTACAGCGCTTAGCGAACTATTGGCGCTTTATAAATACTGAATAATAATAATAATTAATATCAACAATGAGGCACTATTCCTCCCATTAAAACCAATGATGGGGCACTGATGCAGGGGCATTTTCTACACCCACTGGGCACGGTCCAGCCCCCATAAAGCCTGAAGGACAGTAAACTGACCCTTTGCTTAGATAGTTTGGTGACCCCTGTTCTGAAGGAAGGAACTCTTAAGGCGATATACACCACACAGGTCTACAATCCTTCATTAGAGATGAAACACCACATTTTCTGATCATTTCCATAGCCCTCATCCATGATCTAACCCCAAACTCCATCACTACATCCCATATTCCATATTATTTTAATGTCCTATTAGGGGTTATCTGACCATAACAGTCTACAGAACACCAGAAGTGAAAGAGTAGAATAAAGCAGCACTGACAGAAACAGGATTTTTTTTTTACTTTTTGCTCATTCTGTGTTTGCCTGTCCTTGGGAGCACTCAATCAATCCAGTAGATTGCCAGAGTGCTCCCAAAGAGAAGCAGAGCCAGAATAAACAGGCTGCATGAAATCAGATCTTAGGGCACTACTTACTGTTACTGTGTGAGAGCTCAATATAACTTGTGCCCCTTGAATTCCTTTCCCCAGGACCCCATCTAGCAAGGGGACACAAATGTCAGCCCTATCAACAGTGACTTGTTGTCCCTCCAGGTCCTTCAAAAGACGGTGATGGTGACGGAGAGTCAGAAATACACTTTCTGGGATCTGGTGAGGACAGAGCAGTTGCGGAAGAACACGCTGTGTCTGGGGATCATGTGGTATGTGCCGTGACGCCTCTTCCAGCGTGGCTTTCTATCATTGTTACCCTGCATACCTCCCCCACACCCCCAGTCCCACAGTGAGGATATAAATTGAATGGGTTGTTTAGGCAGTTTCTAAAATTATGTACTGTAGCTGTTGGTGGTAAATGCTGCCACTTATCTAGGAAGATGTGTGTATGAGAGGGGGCAGTAGTGATGGGGCAAATTATCTGGGGGTGGGGCGTAGTGGTAAAGCAGATTATCTGGTAGGGGTAGGGTCAGTAGTAATGTCATATTATTTAGGGGGGCAAAAGTGATGGAGCAGAATATCTGGGGGCAGGGGCAGTAGAAATTGGGGGAGATTATCTGAGTGTGGGCAGCAGTGATGAAGGAGGAAGATAATATAAGGGGAAGGCCAGTAGTGTTGGGGCAGATGATCTTGGCAGGGGCAGTAGTGTTGGGGCAGATTATCGTGGCAGGAGCAATAGAGGTGGGGCAGATTATCTTGGCAGGAGAAATAGAGTTGGGGCAGATTATTTGGACAAGGGCAGTAGTGTTGGGGCAGATTATATGGACAAGGGCAGTAGTATTGGGGCAGATTATCTGGACAAGGGCAGTAGTGTTGGGACAGATTATCTGGACAAGGGCAGTAGTGTTGGGGCAGATTATCTGGACAAGGGCAGTAGTGTTGGGACAGATTATCTGGACAAGGGCAGTAGTGTTGGGGCAGAATATCTAGACAAGGGCAGTAGTGTTGGGGCAGATTATTTGGACAAGGGCAGTAGTTTTGGGGCAGATTATGGACAAGGGCAGTAGTGTTGGGGCAGATTATCTGGACAAGGGCAGTAGTGTTGGGGCAGATTATCTGGACAAGGGCAGTAGTTTGGGGGCAGATTATCTGGACAAGGGCAGTAGTGTTGGGGCAGATTATCTGGACAAGGGCAGTAGTGTTGGGACAGATTATCTGGACAAGGGAAGTAGTGTTGGGGCAGATTATCTGGACAAGGGCAGTAGTGTTGGGGCAGATTATTTGGACAAGGGCAGTAGTTTTGGGGCAGATTATCTGGACAAGGGCAGTAGTGTTGGGGCAGATTATCTGGACAAGGGCAGTAGTTTGGGGGCAGATTATCTGGACAAGGGCAGTAGTGTTGGGGCAGATTATCTGGACAAGGGCAGTAGTGTTGGGGCAGATTATCTGGACAAGGGCAGTAGTGTTGGGGCAGATTATCTGGACAAGGGAAGTAGTGTTGGGGCAGATTATCTGGACAAGGGCAGTAGTGTTGGGGCAGATTATCTGGACAAGGGCAGTAAGTAGTTTGGGGGAAGATTATCTGGGTGGGGCAGTAGTCTTAGGGCAGATTATATGGACAAGGGCTGTAGTGTTGGGGCAGATTATCTGGACAAGGGCAGTAGTGATAGGGCAGATTGGTTGACCCATGCAAAAATGTCCCATAAAGAGCTTTGTGCTGGGGGGTCATCTGCCACAAACCACAGACATGAGATTGTGATGGTTAGTGGAGTTAGGTTTTATGGTGATTGCTCATCGGACCTTTCCCATCTGATAACTCACTGGCCTTGCTGCCTCCACCGTAACTGCTTCTCCCCCAGTTGGTGTCTTACTAAACAGTATCTTCTCAGTTAGTGCCCCACAAGTCAGTGTCCCCACCAGTCAGTCCCCCCCATTGGTATCCTCCCAGTCAGTGCCCCCCCCCAGTCTTTGTCCTTCCATCAGTGCCCCCCTACTAAGTGTCCCCCCAATTGGTAACCTCCTAGTTAATGTCCCTCCCAGTCAGTGTCACTCTAGTTAGTCAAATAATATGAAAACAAGAATATATCCATGCTGACTGCCAAAAGTAAAGCAGCTGACACGATTAGGAAGTATAAAACCCAACGTAAATGAATATATATAAAGTGCAGCACTAAATAAACAAAGTGCAGTAATAATCAGAAAAATGCTTATAAATAAATGTCCATGTAAATTAAATAACTGAATAAAGCCACAGGAATAATGTTCAATGAGTGTCGATCCACCGCCCTAAAGGAGTGTGCTTGATTGTAGACGGTATCATTCAATAGTGAATAACCACCACCATCCCCCCAGTGAATTGCAAACTCCCAGAGTTAGTTGCTGCCACTACAGCAGCACAGACACCAATATCGCCCGGCAAGGACGTCATTATAACAATCAATTAGTGAACCGCATCCTCCTTGTCCAGATTCTCCTCTGCTGCCACTTCCAGCAACGTCTCCTCTCTGCTTCCTCCTACATGGAACTTCCTGTCTGTATGGACACTCAATGAACATTATTCTTGTGGATTTATTCAATTATTTAATTTACATGGACATTAATTTATAAGCATTTTTCTGATTATTACTGCACTTTGTTTACTTAGCGCTGCACTTTATATATATATTCACTCTAGTTAGGTTTTATACTTCCTAATTGTTAGTTAGTGTTGCCCCTGTTGGTGTCCTCTACTTAGTGTCCTCCTAGTTAGTCTTGCCCCAGTTGGTGTCTACCAGTGTGTGTCCCCTCTTGTTAGTGTCCCTCCCAGTCAGTGTCCCTCAGTTGGTGTCCTCTCAGTCAGTGTTCTCATCCACCAGTGTCCACCTAGTTGGTGTCCTACTCAGTCAGTGTTCTCCTTCACCAGTGTCCACCTAGTTGGTGTCCTACTCAGTCAGTGTTCTCCTCCACCAGTGTCCACCTAGTTGGTGTCCTACTCAGTCAGTGTTCTCCTTCACCAGTGTCCACCTAGTTGGTGTCCTACTCAGTCAGTGTTCTCCTTTACCAGTGTCCACCTAGTTGGTGTCCTACTCAGTCAGTGTTCTCCTTCACCAGTGTCCACCTAGTTGGTGTCCTACTCAGTCAGTGTTCTCCTCCACCAGTGTCCACCTAGTTGGTGTCCTACTCAGTGTTCTCCTCCACCAGTGTCCACCTAGTTGGTGTCCTACTCAGTCAGTGTTCTCCTCCACCAGTGTCCACCTAGTTGGTGTCCTACTCAGTCAGTGTTCTCCTCCACCAGTGTCCACCTAGTTGGTGTCCTACTCAGTGTTCTCCTCCACCAGTGTCCACCTAGTTGGTGTCCTACTCAGTCAGTGTTCTCCTCCACCAGTGTCCACCTAGTTGGTGTCCTACTCAGTCAGTGTTCTCCTCACCAGTGTCCACCTAGTTGGTGTCCTACTCAGTCAGTGTTCTCCTCCACCAGTGTCCACCTAGTTGGTGTCCTACTCAGTCAGTGTTCTCCTCCACCAGTGTCCACCTAGTTGGTGTCCCTACTCAGTCAGTGTTCTCCTCCACCAGTGTCCACCTAGTTGGTGTCCTACTCAGTCAGTGTTCTCCTTCACCAGTGTCCACCTAGTTGGTGTCCTACTCAGTCAGTGTTCTCCTCCACCAGTGTCCACCTAGTTGGTGTCCTACTCAGTCAGTGTTCTCCTCCACCAGTGTCCACCTAGTTGGTGTCCTACTCAGTCAGTGTTCTCCTCCACCAGTGTCCACCTAGTTGGTGTCCTACTACTCAGTCAGTGTTCTCCTCCACCAGTGTCCACCTAGTTGGTGTCCTACTCAGTCAGTGTTCTCCTCCACCAGTGTCCACCTAGTTGGTGTCCTACTCAGTCAGTGTTCTCCTTCACCAGTGTCCACCTAGTTGGTGTCCTACTCAGTCAGTGTTCTCCTCCACCAGTGTCCACCTAGTTGGTGTCCTACTCAGTCAGTGTTCTCCTCCACCAGTGTCCACCTAGTTGGTGTCCTACTCAGTCAGTGTTCTCCTCCACCAGTGTCCACCTAGTTGGTGTCCTACTCAGTCAGTGTGTTCTCCTCCACCAGTGTCCACCTAGTTGGTGTCCTACTCAGTCAGTGTTCTCCTTCACCAGTGTCCACCTAGTTGGTGTCCTACTCAGTCAGTGTTCTCCTTCCACCAGTGTCCACCTAGTTGGTGTCCTACTCAGTCAGTGTTCTCCTCCACCAGTGTCCACCTAGTTGGTGTCCTACTCAGTCAGTGTTCTCCTCCACCAGTGTCCACCTAGTTGGTGTCCTACTCAGTCAGTGTTCTCCTCCACCAGTGTCCACCTAGTTGGTGTCCTACTCAGTCAGTGTTCTCCTCCACCAGTGTCCACCTAGTTGGTGTCCTACTCAGTCAGTGTTCTCCTCCACCAGTGTCCACCTAGTTGGTGTCCTACTCAGTCAGTGTTCTCCTCCACCAGTGTCCACCTAGTTGGTGTCCTACTCAGTCAGTGTTCTCCTTCACCAGTGTCCACCTAGTTGGTGTCCTACTCAGTCAGTGTTCTCCTCCACCAGTGTCCACCTAGTTGGTGTCCTACTCAGTCAGTGTTCTCCTCCACCAGTGTCCACCTAGTTGGTGTCCTACTCAGTCAGTGTTCTCCTCCACCAGTGTCCACCTAGTTGGTGTCCTACTCAGTCAGTGTTCTCCTTCACCAGTGTCCACCTAGTTGGTGTCCTACTCAGTCAGTGTTCTCCTCCACCAGTGTCCACCTAGTTGGTGTCCTACTCAGTCAGTGTTCTCCTTCACCAGTGTCCACCTAGTTGGTGTCCTACTCAGTCAGTGTTCTCCTTCACCAGTGTCCACCTAGTTGGTGTCCTACTCAGTCAGTGTTCTCCTTCACCAGTGTCCACCTAGTTGGTGTCCTACTCAGTCAGTGTTCTCCTCCACCAGTGTCCACCTAGTTGGTGTCCTACTCAGTCAGTGTTCTCCTCCACCAGTGTCCACCTAGTTGGTGTCCTACTCAGTCAGTGTTCTCCTCCACCAGTGTCCACCTAGTTGGTGTCCTACTCAGTCAGTGTTCTCCTCCACCAGTGTCCACCTAGTTGGTGTCCTACTCAGTCAGTGTTCTCCTCACCAGTGTCCACCTAGTTGGTGTCCTACTCAGTCAGTGTTCTCCTCCACCAGTGTCCACCTAGTTGGTGTCCTACTCAGTCAGTGTTCTCCTCCACCAGTGTCCACCTAGTTGGTGTCCTACTCAGTCAGTGTTCTCCTCCACCAGTGTCCACCTAGTTGGTGTCCTACTCAGTCAGTGTTCTCCTCCACCAGTGTCCACCTAGTTGGTGTCCTACTCAGTCAGTGTTCTCCTTCACCAGTGTCCACCTAGTTGGTGTCTTCTACTCAGTCAATGTTTCTCCTCCACCAGTGTCCACCTAGTTGGTGTCCTCCCAGTCAGTGTTCTCCTCCACCAGTGTCCACCTAGTTGGTGTCTTCTTCAGTCATATGTTCTACTCCACTAGTGTCCACCTAGTTGGTGTCTTCTTCAGTCAATGTTCTCCTCCACTAGTGTCCTCCCTCCTCCACCAGTGTCCACCTAGTTGGTGTCTTCTTCAGTCATTGTTCTCCTCCACTAGTGTCCACCTAGTTGGTGTCTTCCTCAGTCACTGTTCTCCTCCACCAGTGTCCACCTAGTTGGTGTCCTGCTCAGTCAGTGTCCCCCCCCACTCAGTTCCCAGGGGTGTCTCGGCAGGTTCGGTGTGGCGTTCAGCTATTACGGGATCAGTTTCCATGTCACTGGATTCGGGCAGAGTCCGTTCCTCACACATTTCATATTTGGGGCAATTGAGCTTCCGGCCAAACTTGGCCTTTATCTGCTGCTGGATCGAATTGGACGTAAGATGTGCCAAGGAGGATCGCTGATCATCACCGCTGCTTGTATCGCCCTCACCTGCCTCATCCCTATAGGTAACTGCACTGTTTGTGTTCTCCGCCCTGGAATGTAATCTCATTACAACTGTGTGTAACACTACCATATACTGTACAACTTATTATAACTCTGGGCTCCACCCTGCCATGCAATCAATTATAATAATCTGCTCCACCCTGCCAGGTAACCAGCCTGCCATGTTATCTAATTATAATCATTTGCTGCACCTTGCCTTGTAACTTCAGTGCTCCACCCCATCAGGCAACATCATTCGAGTCACATGTAACATGCACCATCATGATTGCATGTGCCACCTTGCAGTGGAATTTCATTTTACAGTAGGTTCAGTAGGTACCTTAACCACTTCCAGTCCGGACACTTTCACCCCCTTCCAGTCCAGACACTTTCACCCCCTTCCAGTCCAGATACTTCCCCCCCTTCCTGTCCAGGGCAATTTTCAGCTTTCAGCGCTATCACACTTTGAATGACAATTGTGCGGTCATGCAACACTGTACACATATGCATTTTGTACCATTTTTTTGAGACAGATAAAGCTTTATTTTGGTGGTATTTATTCACCACTGGGATTTTTTTTTTTTGCTATGTAAATGAAAGTCCAAAATTTTTGAAATTTTTCTTATAAAATTTTGCAAATAAATAATTTTTCATCATAAATCCTGGCCAAAATGTATTCTGTTATCTTTTTAGTAAAAAAAAAAAAAAAAAAGCCAAATTAGTTTATAACCAAAAATTATAATTTTTAAACATTTCTTTTCCATTTTTATTTTACTTATTTTATATTATTATTTATGTTTTTTTTTTTTTTTTTTTTTACATACTGTCACCATGGTGACACTGTACTACTTGTGGGGGGTGATGAAGATTTTTTTTTTTTTTACAGTGATTGCGTTTACACCCATATAGGATGTAAAAGCAATCATTTCTCTTTCTCTCTGTCTGCATTTTTGCAGCCATTGAGAACTACTGAGTGAGCTGTGATTGGTCACAGCTTGTCACATGGTACAAGGGTGTTGTGACTAGCCTTGTACCATGTGACCTCTGTGATCATTCACAGATTTCACACGTAGTAAGCAATGATGTCACAAGTCATATCTTCCTTACTACTTTGCATGTGATCACTGATTGGCCAATCAGTGATCACGTGATCGGGACCTCACACAGAGGTCCCGTCTAACGATCGGTGTTCCACTGTGTCCAGAGGACACAGCGGGCACCAGATCGCGGTGCTTCGTGCTCCCAGGGAGCGCGCACAGCTAGAAATGGCGGGTGCTGTTTATGAACGGCAACCCACCCCTGGAGTGCCACCGCCCTGCCGTTTATAAACAGCAGGCGGACGGCAAGTGGTTAAAGTAGAACTAAAGGCAACACTTTTTTAAAACAAATTTTAATAGAGTAAGAGAAAGCTATAACCCCCGTCAGTTTTATTTTTTTTTGCTATCTGTGTCCCATTGAGGAGAGTTCCTTTCAGGTTCTGTCCCTTAGCCACAATAGGATGTGAGAGGAATTCCCTGTAAAATGAGGGAATCCCTGGTTGTCCCCATTGGAATATTTCCCCTCTATTCCTGTTCTGGGAACAACCCAAAATTTGGGGGTTTCTTCTACTTTCACTTTCAATTATGTTAAAAAAAGGACAAATAGAGAGAGGGAATCTCCCTAACATGGGCACAGACAGCAATCAAAACCTGGCAGACGTTCTAATCCATCTCCATGCTATCCAAAATTAAATATGTTTTGCCATTCTATGTAATTCATTTAGGTACATATTGGCTTTTTTTCCCCCTTTGATTCAGGAGATTGGCGAACCCTGGTGGCCATCCTGGGAAAAGGGTTCTCAGAAGCTTCATTTACCAGAAACTACCCCTTTGCTAGCACTGATGGGCGTTGTTAAATCTCCCTCTGTCAGGACCTAGATCACCTGCTGGTGGCACTGTGCTTCCCAAGGTTATAGTTCCATGACCACAAGCAGGTGTCACCCAGCAGCCAGCAGATCCCAGGAATCAGTCTCTACCTGATGCTGGCTGTTGGAGGGTATTTAGTCCCTCTTCTGCTGATACACCTTGCTCCAGTGTTTTGTTTGCAACCAGTTAGCCGTTATATTGTTTCTGCTTTTGCCATCCTACGTAATTCATTTCGGCACATATTGGCTTTTTTTCCCCTTTGATTCAGGTAATTGGCAAACCCTGGTGGCCACCCTGGGAAAAGGGTTCTCAGAAGCTGCGTTTACCACCGCGTTCCTCTTTACCGCCGAACTCTACCCAACCGTCATCAGGTAACTCATTGACACTGCATCAGGACAGTATTAGGGAGATGGGCAGGGGCTGGGAGGAACATTCTCTGCAATCTTTTTTGGATTTTCCCAGAAAGAAAATACATCAAACAACTTTTATTATCAAGATAATAGAGAAAATGGAACAGTACATACAGAATCGGAAATATATAAATATCTGTTTACCATACACAATGAACCCCAACTGGATGACATTTAATTTACTATGTGCTCTGCGTATCATAAACAAATGTCATTGTTTCAATAGAATCCTTGTTTGTTTCCCATCCATTGAGGGACACAGGAATTTAGAGACTGTTGGGTTATTCTGCCACCTATAGAAGGAATGAACAGTGGCAAGCCCAGGATAACCACTCCTACTCCCTGCATGCCTCAGTTTTTTGCTAGTGTCCTGGGAGGATGGACATTGTTTCTTTGCTGTGAAAATTTTAAATTTTTTACTAGATATTTTTTCTTCAATCAAGATTGCTCACTACATCGCTGCTGAGCTGGTCTCTATATTCAGCTACCTGCACTGGCCTTTCCTAATGCTGACTTTGAGGGCCATACCCAGACTCCACCCGACTCCACCAGACTGGATATTACATTGAAATGTTGCTTTCGACACTAGGCTCTCCATTGTGGTGCTTTCAAGTCCTGAGTGTACCATGTTAGCAAGGGTGTGCTTTTAGGGTTGCCACCTGTACCTTTTAAACCCAAACACATTAATTGCATAGGTTCTGTGACTAATTTAATGCAGAAAAGGTACAAAGTGAGTTTAATTACCACCTTAATCAGCCACTGAACCTGTGTAATTAATATGTGTTCAGTTTTAAAGGAATGTGGTGGCAACCCTATGTGCTTTTCTGAGGTCCCAAGCCGCCGGCATTGCATTAGCATGAATTTGTCTCTGAAGACTGACCTTGTAAGTAGGCCGCGCAAGCTGAGCACCAGAAATTGCCCCATTGCTAGCACTGATAGGCGTTGTTAAATCTCCCTCTGTCAGGACCTAGATCACCTGCTGGTGGAACTGTTCTTCCCAAGGTTATAGTTCTATGTCCACAAGTAGATGTCACCCAGCAGCCAGCAGATCCCAGTAATCAGTCGCTACCTGATGCTGGCTACTGGAGGGTATTTAGTCCCTCTTCTGCTGATACACCTTGCTCCAGTGTTTTGTTTGCTACCAGATACTGCTAGCCGCTATATCGTTTCTGCTTTTTTATCATACTCTCTACTTTGTATCTTTATCCGGAACCCTGCTACCTTGTTCCTACTCTACCTTGTTCCTGATCCCAGTTTGGCTTCCCCTTCTTATATGTTCCCTTCTTCTCCAGTTTTACCCTGCTTTCCTGTGTTCCCTATTTGTATATAGTTAGTTTGATAGTTAGGATTTCTGTTGTTCTGTTAGGTCAATTAGTTAGGTATTTTGTCACTGGGTTGTTGGTTCACTTATATCTTCATGTTTACTGTTTGCTGTTACTTGGGCATCTTCTGTATTACTATTAATACATCTTACTTTAAATATATATGGTCTGGGTGTAGCTACACAGATTTGGCCATCCCTGTTGCTGATTCTTGATGCTCTCTTTCCATTCTTATCCCAAAAGGGATTCACGTTGAGGTATTGAGCATTGACGTCATCCAGCGGGTGGAATATCTCGTACATGCAGACCCATCATTCATCATTGAGGAAGCATTTTCCCACTGCTGCTCCTGATCACAAGTGGCATCTTTGTTGCCCTCCTACAATGACCTAGGTTTTGGAAGTGCAACAGCATGTATTATGCACTCTGAACTATAGAGGGCACTCTAATGATATACTAGCTGTACAGGAAGGATGTTTTTGTTTTTCTCAGTGCCTCATCTCAATACATAACCAACACTAGCTACTTGCAGCATAAACGCCTAAATGCTTCCCAGCATCCAAGTTTATGAGTATGTGAGTCCTAGCGTTGTACCTTGAGCTACTTGGCGTTCGACCTTGCAGTGCAACATGTTTGATTCTACACAGAACTGGTACTGCCTACTGTGTATCCCCTGAGATGCCTGACACCGATGGTTTGGAATTTTGCCTTATGCTAGATTCTGTGCTATCCCCAGAGTGTTCCTCATGGCCGCCTCCTCAGCTCTATCCTGGGAGGATTTCACTGTAGTCTTGCATGAGTTCGTTGTCCAAACAGAACATTTAAGTGCTGACTTTGAGGCCAAAAGCATGCTTCAATGCCTTCCCCTGCAGAATCTGTCTGATCTGCCATCAGGCTCTGAGTCTTTAGCCACTGAGACTCTGATGCTAAGTCTTTTAAGTCCTTAAAGGACGAACCTACACCAGAGATGTCCCAGACTTCTGCCAGTACTCCCAAATCAAAGAGACTATTTCAGGCACTGTCACGACGATCGCGGCGTCAGACCCCAGACCTTCTCACCAAACTCGTGACCAAAGGGCTAACCGATCTACAACTGCGATGTGACTTGCTTAAAAATGCCACACCCAGCTGCACCCTGCACAACGATTTTCCAGCTAATGGATACCGATCGATGTGCCAGCAGCTTGAATCGATTGTTACTGGGTCAGGTTAATTTACACAATTAACCCCTTCACACTGCCACCACCTCCTTTTTGATCAGAGAAAGAGGAAACTTCGGCATTCAGCTATAACACTATGATGGTTGATATAATCGACTGCATAACCTGGTCATAATACAGGCCTGCTATACAGAGGGTTAAAACAAACAGTAGCTTCTCTTTAAAGGCAGGGATTCGTAAATTGCAATTAAGAGCTATAGAAAGAGTTCAACACTTTCAGAAAGAGAGATTTATTACTAAAAGTGTCAAACAGATGCAATAAAAATATTTACAGAGAAGATGTAACTGTTAGGGACCTGCCGGCGGTAGCCTCTAGCGTTCCACAGACCAGAATTCCCCAAGGCGCGGAATCTAATCCCTGACCTGCTTGTTGACCAGGGCCCCTGATGGTGGGGATGGACTTGGAGCAGGCCGAAAGCAGGTCGCGGCCCCTGGGTGCACCCAGCTGTGGTAGAAGCAATTGCCAGAGGTGTATAGCAGGTGAGAGCCTGATGTAAGGAGGTAGAACGAGCAGAGTCGTACAGGCCGGGTTGGTAGCGGTGGAGGCAGCATGGTACAATACAGTAGACAGAAGGATAAACTGGTCACAAGCCGGGTTCGGTAACAGGAGATCAAAACGTGTGGGATTAGACAGGAGAATGGTCAGGCAAGCCAGGTTCAGAGCAGGAAACAGTCAGCACATCAAGGTCAGGCAGGGTCGGCAACAAAGCAATCTTAAATCAGGAACACAGGATACAGGTAAGACCATACGGCAATTAGAGCACAGACCTGACCTGTTTTAAATAGGGTGCCCTGCACCCTGATTGTGCCAGGCGCGCATCCGTGATCGCGAGTGTGCATGCGCAACCGCCGTTGCGGGTGCCCAGGTCCCAATGCTCGCACGCTAGTGCGGCCGGGCATACCACACATACGCAGACCCGTGCGCGATCGTGGACACATCTGGGGTCCCAGACAGTAACTAAGATATATATATATATATATATATATATATATATATATATTAGTTGCAAGAAAAAGTATGTGAACCCCTTGGGATTACGTGGAGTTTTGCATGAATTGGGCATAAAATGTGCTCTGAACGTCATCTAAGTCACAACAATAGAAGAACACAGTCTGCTGAACATAATACTACACAAACATTAGATGTTGCCATGGTTTAATTGCACATAACATATAAACATTCACAGTGCAGGGAGAAAAAAGTATGTGAACCTTTGGACTTAATAACTGGTTGACCCTCCTTTGGCAGCAATAACCTCAACCAAACATTTCCTGTAGTTGCAGATCAGACCTGCACAACGATCTGGGTCATTTTGGACCACTCCTCTTCACAAAACTGTTTCAGTGTAGCAATATTCTTGGGATGTCTGGTGTGAATCGCTCTCTTAAGGTCATGCCACAGCATTTCAATGGGGTTGAGGTCAGGACTCTGACTGGGCCACTCCAGAAGGCGTATTCTGTGCTGTTGCAGCCATTGTTTTGTTGAATTACTTGTATGCTTTGGGTCATTGTCCTGTTGCATCACCCATCCTCTGCGGAGCTTCAGTTGGCGGACAGATAGTTGTACCTTTTCCTGCAAAATGTCTTGATAAACTCTGGAATTAATTTTCCCATCAATGACAACAATCCGTCCAGGCCCTGAGACAGCAAAGCAGCCCCAAACCATGATGCTCCCTCCGCCATGTTTCACAGTGGGGATGAGGTTTTGATGTTGGTGTGCTGTGCCTTTTTTTCTCCACACATAGTGTTGTGTGTTCTTCCCAAACAACTCAATCTTGGTTTCATCTGTCCACAGTATATTTTGCCAGTAGTGCTGTGGAACATCCAGGTGCTCTTTTACAAACTTCAAACGTGCTGCAATATTCTTTTTGGACAGCAATGGCTTCCTCCGTGGTGTCCTCCCATGTACTCCATTCTTGTTTAATGTTTTCCTTATTGTAGATGTGTCAACAAAAATGTTAGCATGTGCCAGAGATTTCTGTAGGTCTTTAGCTGACACTCTGGGATTCTTCTTTACCTCATGCAGAATTCTGCGCTGTGCTCTTGCAGTCATTTTTACAGGACGACCACGCCTAGGGAGAGTAGCAACAGTGCTAAACTTTCTCCATTTGTAGACAGTCTGTCTTACCATGGACACATGAACATCAAGGCTTTTGGAGATACTTTTGTAACCCTTTCCAGCTTCATGCAAGTCAACAATTCTTGATCGTAGGTCTTCTGAGAGCTCTTTTCTGCGAGGCATGGTTCACATCAGACAGTGCTTCTTGAAACCAGTAAACCCAAAACAGGTGTGTGTTTGTTAAGGGCAGGACAGCTGTCAGCAACACATCCAATATCATCACACTGATTGGAGTTAAGGTTGGCTCACTCCTGGCTCCAATTAGCTCTGGGAGAAGTCATTAAGCTAGGGCCTCACATA